CTCTCCAAGAATCGTTGCTTCGGCTTCGTAACAAATAACCAAGGCCTGTTCGAATGGATGGACATCGATGCGTACACCGCGTACACGTCTACATTACTAAAAGTAGGATATTATCGACTCACTTTGTTAGTATGGCTTCAGAATTCATATCGAATACACTTTATCTGAGTTCATAAATGGATTAAAACTGCAAATAAGGTGGCTTAAGTGTATTTTGATCAGAATGAATGAAACCATGCGCCAGTCGAGTGGCTATTGGTGCATTCCTGGGGCGTTGTTATAGACTCTCTGCTTAAATGATAAACAAAAATAGCAGTGATATAAACTACCAGAGCCACAAAAGGATCTCAACTTTTAACCTCTCAGAAATTGAATCATAATAATACAACTTTCAACAAGTAATTTTGTTGATTATAGCTTTTTTTATGTGCGCACAATGAAAATTTAAAACTTTTATCGATTTAATGTTTGAACTTGCATTGTTAAATTTTTCTGCTAACTGTAGTTTACTTTCATACAAATATTGCAATTTTTTGTATTTTGCATCTATCAGGTAAAATACTTTTTCAACTGATGTATTTACATGTGTTTACACCTAGATTGGAAGTTCCATGGGTGATATATTGGTCCGAATTGTAGTTATCTTTGGGATATTTTACTCAAAAATTGATCTCAGGACCCAGATTGTCTATATAACCTCTGTCAACTTAAGGTAGTTTATAATATCCTGTATGTGTGAGCTCCTCAGATCAATCAGGCTGCATTGACCCCACTTGGCATGGCTTTCCCGCTACATCTATCGTGCCATACTCCTTCTTCATGCCATTAATTCCTTGGTGAAATCCGCACTTTTTCGGCACCTCTTTTAATTTCACACTATCTGGAAGGACTGAATGAGTAGAGGAGGGCGTCTTTCATCCCAAAATTATGCTGAAAGTTTGCAGGTTGATGGAGTCCCTTTGGTCACATGATTGGCGTTAAGTGACCGTTCATCATTCCTATGCGTATTACAATACTTTTTTTATTATATTATGGCCTAGCACAACCTCAAGGAAGCCTCGGGGAGCCGCCACTTTACCACAACCCATTTAAATCCACTGTACATCCTTTACAAATGATTGTATGCCATTATAATAAGGCCGTAAGTTAATTATAACACAACTATACCACATAAAATTTAGCATAAAAATAAGTAAAAAACTTGTATTCTTTAGACGCTGATAGATTCCTGCGTTTTTCGTTCCACTTTAGCACTAATAGGAACCACCTCATATTTTAGTTCAGTTACTCCATGTTTGCTTTCCTTGGTAACGTACCCTATTGTGCTGTCTTGCAAAGATGCGGTCTCTTGCTTATGCAGACTGTGTTAAAACCCCCTCTTATATTTTATACTTCATAATTCGACATTTTTGAATGCAAATTGTAAAGGCCAATGCATACCACTATACGGGCACCTTTTCCCATTCATGCCTCACTGACACAAAGCGACATTATTAACTGCATTTTATTTCCTTTGCAGGTTTAATTTTTGTTTGAAAACTTATCCGTAATGCATTGGGGGTAGGAGATTAGTGGTAACTCGGGAGTACCATTTTAATTTGGGAGTAATATATATGACTAGGTTGTAATTGCCAATGGCAAATCCTTTATCCTCTCAACCCTCTCTTTAATGGTATGTTCTTAGTGGTATTGAACTAAACTATTCGTTACTCCAGTGCCTTGACTTCATCTGTAGACGAAAGTAAACGCTATACTGACATAGCATGGAGGGCATTTGCTTAGTAGAATCGCCTAGGTGGAGCCTTAAGTGCCCTCTCAACCGAGACGAAGAGCTAAACACACTGCGTTTTGCATGGCCCCTCTCGTCTTCTGAGCATCGCCCTAAGCGCTACCCTTGGTCAATCTTCCGCATTAATCATCGCAACGCAGTAGGCGCTGCAAGGAAAAACAACTATGAACCAACAGCGCCGGGCGTAGAACTAATGTGCAATTGAGGGGATAACTGACTGCTGCCTCACTGATCCCTCTTGTTAATTCCACCGAATCTAAAGTTTTGTCTTGCTTAAGAACTGTCTTGGAAAATAGGGGAATGCGCTGGCTATCACGTATGTCCATCATTAGTCTTAAGAACACTGGACTAAAAGTAGTCGTTTGATAAAGGACAGTGCCAGACATTTTGTGGGGTTAAGGTTTCAAGTCTATGCCTCCTTGCTACTTTATTCCCACTTCACTGCTGCCTAGCAACACTTATCTGGATTCTGTCTAGCGGGTAGAGCAGTGGCGAAGGTATTACACGTTTACTTCATTGACATCTTCAAACAGTTACAGCAGATCGCTCCGTGAGGAACTTCCTTTCAGATGTCAATAGCATTCCTGAAAAAATCGGACTAAGGTAGTCACCGTAGGTTGAAGTCATTTTCAAATCTTTCAATTCTTCGTCAACACTTGTCTTTAAAACAAAGCGAACCGTGATCGGCTAAATCGAATTTAGAGCCGAAAATAAGCAAATACAATCCTAGTAGCAAGAGACTTTACGAAAAAAGGTGAAAATTTTATTAAGAAACATCTGAATTTCCTTGCTGAATAGGAAATTTAGAACCAATTCGGGCATAAAATGAAGTAAAATGCATTTCAAATAAAATAAAAGTATCCCTTGTAAATAAGGTTAGGACCTTGTAAAAAATTGTTCAAATATAAACATTAATGAATAATTTTTTCTTTACCTTAGAGATTGAATTCCTCAAAGTTGTGCAAGTAATGGGATCCCGTGTTGAATTACTGGATAACGCGAATAATTTTATGTAGGCAAATCATGAATTCTTTTCTTAAGGATGATCGTTAAAAAACTTTCCATCCAGTTTACTAAGCTGCCCTTTTTAGAGAATTATTCAGCCTCTTAAAAATTTCCAAAATGGTTACTGATTTATTTGCAGCTTTGCATTTTTGGACATTCGGCATAGTTTTGTGCTTCCCGAGATCCGATGGTACCTGCAAAATTAAGCATTAAAGATGGGAAGCTTATCCCAATTCACACGTTTACACAAGGAAAAGTACAAAACTAGTCATTATTAATTGCATTCTTTTTTAATTCCAAAATGAGCTGGCAATGTTCATTGGTCAAATAAAATATTTGATGTCAGTCTTAGTTGACAAAGCCACGTGTATGAAGTTCTCTGGCCCCTCCCTGAAGTTGTCATAAACCACGTCAATACAAAGGAGGATTCACCGTTGACGTACAGAAGGGACAGAAGGCAGTGATGCCGGGTGGAAACACAAATCACAAAGACTGCAGAATGCGAACAGTCAAATATGTAGTTAAATACGTATGAGACTATAAACAGAGCCCATATCATCACTCCACCATCTCAGTATTCAATGTACAAGCAATCATTACACTTTGTTCACCTCCACCAGGTTAATCTTCCATCTACATACTTTGACAAGTCATTTGAAATCACCAGTACAGAGTCCTTATCGGAGTAAAGAAGGAATCCACTATTGTAAAGGTAGTTGATTCTCTTCTACGATTTCTCACATAAAATCTTGCAATGAATTGGTCTTCCCTTCCACTGTAGCATTTTTAAAATGTACTTAGACTCGGAAATACTATTTTTCTCGTATTTGTTTCTAAAGATGATTCAAGAATAATCACTAAGTCTTCAATTTTTTATAGAGTAATCAATATACTTAAGGTTCGTAAATGCATTCAAGTTAGTCAATCAGGCTTTGAATGTCAAGGGCAATAAAAGTAAGTGATAGTGCATAAATCAGCTTTTGCTGGAAATCCAAATCATTTATTTGGTTTATATTTTTTTCACAGAACCTTTTTACTACTGCCTCGACTCATTTACACATAATTTCCCTTGCTGATGTGCTGAGTGCCTTGACTTTCTTAGAGAAAAAATTACTTTTTTCTCAGGAGCTAGATGTTTCCCACTTTTAATAAACGAACCTCTTTTATTGAATGCACCTTATTTCGTCTTTAATGGGTTACTGTTTGGCTGTTTCAAAGTATGAAAGGAATGTTCTAGCACCCCGTAATTTTCTAGATTTGACAGAGTTGAAGCTTTTAATTGAGGCTTAAGTAACTTTTTTGTAGAGGATTAGGGCGTCCATTACGTAAGGGAGGCCGGAATCAAATTGGTTTTGAACATTAATAACATAGGAAATAAATTTCAAACGTTGGGCACTTCAATTCCCTTAACTTTTAGAGAAAGCTTAATGACAGCCTGATTGTATTTTACGTACAAAGCTAAGGATTCATTTTTACCCTACTAAGCATTCAACCAGATGAACTTTTTTCAATAAGAGGACCATCCAGTCCCAAAACGTGCAAAATGAGTTGTTTACAAAGGTACAATAATAATAAGCGAAGCTTAAGTGAGTATTGTTCCGAAATGCCTAGACCCTTCTTTTGGGCAGGCTGTTAGTAGGTATTATTGTCATGGCCAATGTCAATGTCAATATCAGGGCGGCTAGGCAGCTAAACTTCATGCAGAAAATTTCACAAAATCATTCATTAATGCTCATTATTCATTTTGCCAGGGGAAAATAATGATCTTGCCTGAAGATTACATGGCAATCATTATTAAAGATCCCATGCAGTGGATTATTTTAGTTATGCGCTACATAGTGCTCCGTAATTAGTATGATAAAAAAGTACAAATTAAACTCCAAATGACTTTAAAACAGTTTTAATGTAAATGTGGAACGTAACGTAGACTTCTACAAAGCAGCAAGTCATTGAGGTGGTTGAGATCTTGACTCCCACCTTTTATAACTAGAGTCGGTGACTCCTCCGTCTTTCACTCAACGTGCGTACCCAAAGTAATCTCACCGGGAATGAATTCCAAGGCATGAGGAACAAATTAATTGACAATCTGATCTCTCAAGACAATGTCTACAATCTCATCGAAAGTGCTTTTCAAGACCCACCCGATGGGGCAGCAGTTCAAAGAATGGCCGCGATTCTCGGGTCCCACGTTCATCTCCACCAGTACCTCGTCACCTTCAAACAGCCCAAACATCTCTTGCCTTACGTCATCCACGTCTTCGGTGGCAGTGACAAGGCCTTCCAGTGCATCGACAAAGCACTGCTGGGAGATCTCTGGTCCATCTACCGAATTGCCAAATGCATGGCATTCGATTTGAAGGCCACAGTGCGTCTGCTCACGAGCATTGAAAGGACAGTTGGTGCTGCCACTTCGTGTCTCACCACCACACCATGCCACTTTCACTATGTGGAAGACTTCATCAATCTGCTGTTGAGGCGAGAGTGGACTGAGACGGATTTGGTGGAACTGGCGAATGGACGGTATGAGCAGAATCTCAAGCAGGGTGAGAAACCAAACCAGAATCCCCTCCTCACTGTGGCCGCAAGAATGTGAGAATGAATTTCTGAGGCTCTACAAAACCTTGCATGAACTGGATTATCGCTATCGTTATTCTAAGTCACATGTATCACATAAAACGTATGTCATGTCACGCTGTGGCCGCTACTCCACGGCTCCTCCAGAGCTTTGGCCCAACTAAGTCTACTCACATGACCGAAGTATTTACAAATGCAGCGTCTGCAGTACATTAAATGTCTCTCTCTTTCAATATGAATATTTCTCCAAGCGTTTGTAAACGCCTGATTCCACACTAAACGCATCATCCTTAACAGGTTGTGTGAAGGCGAGGTCACACGAGTTATCATGAGTATCATTGAGGGAGACGGAAATGAGGTGTGTCTTTTTGAGGAGTTATTAGAGCCCCATCTAGCACGATTCCTCATAAATGAACTGCGGATTCTGTATAGGTGCATGAGTGCAATCCTCCAGTTTCATCAGGTCAGAAGAGCTGGACACTCTACTGCAAGAAAGTATTGACCTCAACCATCCTAAATGCCCCTCACTGAAGCTTGGAATGTGCCGAACGATTTTATCTTCTTATAAAAACTTTGAAAGCGCAAGGGGTGTTTTAAGGCAGAATTAGTTTTTCATTGGAGTAGGCTGCAAGGGCGTCATCAATATAACCGACAGCCACGTTGAGCGAGGAGTATTTACATCCCCATCAAGAAGTTCGGTTGACTCCGCAGCTCGTCTGAGGCGGCCTTTGACTCTGATGACAGTTTTGTGTTCTTTATCTTAACTGGCGCCTTCAACCGTGGAAAGTAGAAGGCTGCTAAGACGGAGCCGCCAACTGATTTGTTGACGAAGCAGATTAAGAAGGCTAACCGTGAAGTACCGATAAGAATGGTTATTGAACCGGAGCAAATGGAGGTTGTGAAGGACAGTTGAAGGGCCTAGGTCACCGTAATTATTCCTACCTTTTAGTTAGACTAACATAGTGTTGCGCAGTGATTGTAGCTTTGTACCATTTGAATAGGTATTTTTGTGATGCTCTGAACAACGTCAAGGGTGCATAAAAAAGCTCATTTTATCATTAACTTTTATGACATGTATTTTTTTGTAAAAAAGCAGTATTTGAGTGGATTTCTGATATAAAATGAGTAGGATATCCTACCCTCCTAGCATTTATTTCATCTTCTTAACTCCCTTGTAGCCAACTGTTTGTCAAATATCAAACCAGCTCAAATTATTGAGGGTTTTAGTAACACTCCTTGAAATACTCCCTGCGTACTTTGCACCCAACAGCTTTATGGAATTTTTTTTTTAAAAAGAACCTCTGATAACTTGTAATCAAGTACCTACTTAAACAAATTCGTATTTCACTTTTGAGGCAAAGAGAACTTAGGGTCTGGACAAATAATACTCGGTAGTATAAAACCTCATAAAGAGTTCCTCGTGGCAAGAAAAAAACATTGGCCTACTTGAGTCTAAATATGTGCATGATGACTATTTGCCATATATTGCAAGTAGATGAGCCAAAGCGCTGTGAATTGTCAAGTTAGTTCGATGACACCACGCATGCTATAGCAGTGGATCTAATTTGCAAGCAGTACTTTCCTGGTCAATGAAATTGGTCTAGTGGCCGGAAGCGGTGGATGAAGAGTGAAAGTGGAAACAATCGAAAAGTCGTTGGGTGTGACGCCCATGGAGGCAATTAAGACGATATCGTTCTGACTGATACCCTGTAGCAAGAGCTGTTAACTCTCAAGTGTGCAAGGTATTCTGGATAGTTCTTCGGAATAAATAATTGAACAAGCGAGGGCTTACCCTTTTTAAAGTATGAACGATTAACAAAGCAGCCGTATTTCTGCTGAATTTTGTTTACAACTTCTCGGTAATCTAAGTAAACAAATTATTTTTGTTAATTACGATAAATGTTGCCTGCAATTATTTCAAGATATATGTAGTCTTTTTTAGAGATGAAGCCTTAACTTCACACCTAAAAATAGAATAAAACACTGTAATCAATCGTTGTGATAAGTTTTCCCGATTTATTGACAATGCCTTTGTGCGTAAGTGATGTGAGGAAAAATCTTTCATTACTACACGATCACAGTACAATCTAGTGTGATGTTTAAGACATGCATTTGTGTTCGAGCAAGGGATGGATATCATCAGAGCCATTTAAGTCAATTCCATCCAGTCGTCACTCCATTCATAAAAATTAGCCTCCGTACTCTCTGGAGTCAACTTAACTCGGTCTTCCTGGAATCTAAATGGCTCCGTTGACTTTTGTTTTAATCATTCCTACCTCGTGGAAGTCTCACGCATTAAAGACAAAAGTCTTAATTCCAAGCAACGTGTAATCATTGTGCAAACTGTCCCATTTAAGAATTTTTTAATTTATTTTAAAGATCATAAGTACTTTGACGTTAACGTATCACCAATAGAGGTGGTAGCTTGATTTGAGGTATATTCTAGACCAGCCACTTCCTCGATGAGGTGATGCTTGAATAAAAACGATTGCATTGTAAAAGAGTAAAAATTTGTTTTAGATAACGAAATGGTTTGAGAATTTTATCTATTAACTTATGCATTCTACCATTTGTTTTCAAATTATGCTTTTGGAGAAGACTGAAACTTTTCTCAAGTTCTCTCAGCCTTCTGCATGCATCAAACAGCACATTCATAAAAGGATAAAAGAACAGGCAGACGAAAAAATATAAACGGTAGATGGAAATATGGATAGCTTTAGCCTGGAAGGATAAATGGATACAGGGTGGAGGTATGGATGGATGCGGAGTGAATAAATATATCCATATAGGCCTCTTTAGGCCACGTCGCTTAAAAGATTTTCCTTTCTTTGGGAATATTATTAAATTGATAAATGCATACTAATTAATTGTCTTATTGGAAACGAAGATTAAAGTTCTGAAAACTTGATAATTTCACTTGGTTAATAAGTACAGTATAAGGTTCGATGCAGAATGAAGTGACATATCATGTCCTTATCGCAATTTTTAACCCCTTTCTTATCTTTCCTTCCATTCCGCTTAAAAATTTTGGGGCAACATTTACTTAACCACAGCGAAATGAGGTACATAAATGTCGGGAAGGAGACACTAAACCCTTTCAGGATATCAAAAACTTGAGTTTACGTCATTTATTTACTTTGACTTAGCATCCATTTACTGTTTATCCCTTCTACTTATTCGTCCTTTTTGCATCCATCAGTACAAACCTTGTCAATTAACAAGTTGCGTTTCCACTTCTTTCTTGTTGTCTTCAAAGGCGCTTACAGTAAACACTAACAAATGCCCTCCATTTGCGACCAGTGTATCCTAATTCTCCATACCTTGCAGACACGTAGTCCCCCTCAACTGCCTTGGTAAACATTGCAAACTTATCAAATTTTAACGAAGCAGCCCATAACCTTGAACAAATGTGTTAGGGCTGTTACTGTGCAAGCCAACTCCAGTGACGATTATGACCAAGGCGAGTGTATGATCGTGCATCCACTTACCATAACAAAACAGAGTCACTTTCCTAGGAAAATGGCATCCTCACCGGCTGAATGAAATCGTCATCTGTAAAACACGAGTAGTGGACCATCCTACCCTTCTACTTCTAGCAATGTAATTTCACTTACATTCAAATGGCTAACTAGATAAAAGAAGGTAAGGTTTGTCTCAAAACATGTCGATTTTTTCCGGAGTGGATATCTCCAGCTGCGTATGGGTGTTCAACTAGCCTTCCATAGTCAAGACTCAGGAATGGACTCGTCCCACTCCGCCTCACTCCGCTGCAATAATTTCGTGCTGTGCCATCGGGCCAGAGAGGGATAGTAGGACCACTGATTTGAGTCGAGGCAAAGTGGGAAACTCGCACAAACTGGTTGTCCACTGCAGCCTTCACACGTCTTTGACCGCCATTCCCTCTTTCAACTCACTGAGTTATTTGAAAGCACTTAACGTATCTATCTCACTTTCTTTTTCTTCTCTTTTACACTCAATCATTTGACTCTATCGGTTATAACATCTGTCTACTGAACAACTTCCGCCCCAACTTCGCTGCTGGTTGTTTTAATAAATCAGATTCGTAATTAAAAGGTGAATTTCTTTTAAATTATTGAGGGGGGATCCTAGCCTAGGTGTAACAAAGGTATAAAATGTATCCAGTCTTTATTTTATGTCTAGTATCACTGGGAGATCACTAGTTTTGGAGACAATTATAAGATTAGACAGGGTGATGCATATTATCCATAAATTTAGCCGAGTAGACCAAAATGGCGAGTGTGTGTGCTGCAGACATCCTCGTTCCCGTTTTATAATACTAAAAACTTCTTTCCGAAATATATTTTCCTGGCACTCTAGCATATTCTTATATTTGTACACTCGTTAAAACTATTCATAATGTCATAAATACGTGAGAATGGTGCTCGTCAGAGAACTGGCCGCTCTAGCCAACAAAAGCGCAAGGGAATAACTCACACTGGGTGTGCATACATAGCCGGCAATAGAGAAGTCGCTTTCCTGAAGTCTCATTTCTTCAATACTTAGATTAGGATCTCCACAACCTTCGTGGCCACACAAAATAAGCACCAGTACAAATTAATGTAAAGAATATGCTTTATAATTGATAAGGGCTAAGATAAACTGTTCAACTTTCTAATCATTGGGAATGGTTTGAATGTACATTTATAAGTTCCTATAAGGTAAGCATCTCATTAGTTTTGGAAGCTATGGTCATTGGGAGTTTTAGGCCCGTTCATATAAGCCCATCTTACTCTCCTCACAGTATACTCACGTATGCAGCAAGATCTTTGACTTTGTGGTTAGTCATGACTGATCAAGGATCTGTCTTAAGGAGACGACCTCAATTTGACAAAGTGGTTAATAACGGGCTCCAGGAACGAGTGTTTTACCAGCCTGAATTACAACATCTTCTAGGACCAGTGTGGGTTTTTGGGAGCACGACTTGCTGAATCTTTCGTGCTTGGAAAGGAAATTAGGCTAGTACACCTTTTGAGTCTCTTAAAAGATAGGTAAAATAAA